TCGCCCAAGTCCTCTCAGTGCTTTTGCTCCTTGTGAAGGGGGACCCCCCTGGGGGTCCACCTCCCACCCAGGAGCCGCGGGGAAGGAAGGTGCAGGCTGCGATGGGGACAGCCGATGCCTTCCTTAGAGAGGGCAACAAGGGATGGCTCTGTGACCGACAGGCAGCATTCCTTTGGCAGGAAAACACGGCCTTTATGAGTCATTTCTGACCAACCATTTTTTTCTACTGACTTCTACCAATCTGGGAGGAGTGCCAGGAGGCGAGCAGCTCACTTGGACCAGGAGCAGCCCATGGGACTCCCAAGAAACCCAGGCTGCAGCAAACTGCACACACTGGTGCCACATTGCGGATGTGGCAATTCCAGCGTGCTGAACGTTGGCCAGAACGTGCTTCCTCCAGAACAGCGCCTGTCCCTGGGCTCCTTGCTGCAGGATTGGATCCCCTGGCACCGAGCCCCGTCGCCCCGGGCTACGTGCTCCCCGGCGCTGTGACTGAGCCCCTAAACTTCATCACTTAGAGCCCCACAGGACAGGGACTTGCAGACTAACAACTGGCCTCGTCTGGCTGCTGGAAACGTCAAAGCTGGAGTCAGTCCCTGTGGTGCCGAGCGCTGCTGTCGCTCATCAGGACACAGCAGCCAGCGGCTGCAGTGCCACGGCTGGGGACGGGGCGCGCTTTCAACACCGCTCACAAGCGCCCACGGAAATCTGACACATTTATCCTACTCTTCATCTGGCATCGCTAAGGGAATGAGCTGAGGTTACTTATCAGAGCTGCTGGATCCTCAGCAACCTCCTAGACGAAGCAGGGCCAAAAATTGAACGGATTGCAAAGAAGAACATAGTCAGTTCCTAACAATGGCCCGCAATAGCCCTCCCAAAGAGAATCCTCACCTAGCACCCCATGCAGATAGCCTTATAAATGAAGAAGCTGCCAAAAACCTTGGAAGCTATTGGGAAGGGAAGGTCCTTCTGTACCACTGCCTCTTCTGCTGAGCTTGCTGAGTTACTTCTTGCTCCTCCACTAGAAAAAACCACAGCTAGACCCAGCAAGAATGAGTATCTGTGTCGCAGCAAGTGTCTGCTCCAGTTATCAGTGACATTGCACTTGTGTGCCCACGTGGGAGAGAGGGAGCCAGAATCCACAGTGGGTGAGGCATGTGGAGCCGGGCTGGGCAACCTCAGGGGCCTCCATAGCAATTTCCTCTGTCTTCCCCCGAGAGGTTCAGATCTTGCGATATCAGCACACTACAGGCTGGATGACCCAGCCACTTCTGGTAACCCACACGGGCAATTCTACTGGGCTTCCCCAACAGGCTTTCAGGACAGTAATAGGCTCTATTTTTAAAGACAGAAAAGTCTTTTGTCATAACCATATTTCACAGATGCCTTTCAACAACCGGCTCTGCCCAGCAGCAGGGGTACCCGTCCCCGGACACTGTTTGCTGGAGCAGTTCAAAGTCTCTGTTACCTTTCCACAAACATGGGCTGTAAGAAACAGGCCCCTTGTAGCTGTGCAGAACGAAGCAGCTCCGCCGGTATAAAAGCGCTTCTTCCCCTGGAAGCGGCAACTTCCCTGGATTTGGGGCACAGCCAGGGAATTAGAGCAAACTGATTGCTTCTAAAGACTTCCTAATTTTGAGAAATCTCAGACCACATCCAATGTATCCAGCAACATCCTCCTAGGGCAGACAGGATACTGGGGATGGAGGAGCCCGTTACAGGATGGGTTGTTAGTGAGGAGATGAAGATTATTGCCATGGAATAACAACAAGAAGGAGCGAGGGCTGCCTCAGACCCACCAGCTGTGCTTTGATACCGCAGCACATCTGGAACAGCCCGCAGTAACCCCACTGAGCTCAGAACCAGCAGGTCAGGAGCAGAGCGGAAGCTTTTAATAAATTGCTTACCTGTGGTTTTAGGAGAAACAGAGTCCAATTAGGGCAACATCAGCTTCTCCGTACTTTTTACGGATAAATCACTGAAGATCCTGCCCAAAGAGGACTCAACTTTTCCTTCACCTTTTACCTATTTTAAGCACGGAAGCTGTTTAGCAGGGTTGGACGATTTTCTCTTCCTGTGTCACGGTATTACTTTCTACTTCTCTTCTAAGTACTTTAGGGGATATTCTACCATTAAACATACTTGGGTTTTCTAAATGACTGTCCTGGGAAGCAACTGCCTCAAATGCTGCATCTTAATTTCACAAAAGTCTCAGGAGCCAAATGTGCAAGCAATCTCTGCAACATCCCCATTAATCCCTCTGCTGGCACACGTTCAACCTGAGCTCGGACGCGAGCACGGCCCTGCCGAGCCACGGACCAGCAGCTCCCCAGATGCTTTGCCCTCTGGCACTGACACGCTGCGGTTACCAAACATTTCGTAGGCTCTTGCAGCTTTCCTCTTTTCCTGTGGGCAGGGGGACATCCAGTTCTGCTCCTCGCTGCGGGCCAGCCTGCTGCCCATGAGCAGATCAGCAGTGCCCTGTGACTCGGCGGGAGAGCAACAGCACCAACAGCGAGCAGATTGCTCTTCCCCTCGTGCTCAGACAACGAGGATCTCCAACAAATCAGCCAGCACAGCTCCCATCCAATGTTAAGCACGTGCTGCTCCTGACCTGTCATCCCAAAAGCATCGAGGTTCCAGGCTGCACGGCAGGATCATGCTGCATCCTGCGCTGCTGTGCTTCCCCGCTCCAGGAGGGAAAGGAGACAGGCCCAGAGGCAGGGAGCCGCACTTCTGAGTCAAAAAAAGCAACAGCAGAGATAAGCTGCCACCTTGCATCCACACTATGTTTACCTAAGTGGCCTGGAAAAGGTCTCTCAGCTCTTTAACTTGCAGCCAACAGTTCTGCAAGAGACGTAAGGAGCCAGCAGAGCTCGTGAGTGCACATCTGCTTAGGAAGCACTGGCAGGCTCAAGCCGAGATCACCATTGCCAGAGACTGCCTGGACCTGTGCGAGGCCTCTCTCCAGCAGCTGACCCATCACCCGGGAGCAAGGGCCAGTCCAGACCTGGAGCAGGGACAGCTCCACGGGAAGCCCATCAGCTTCGAGGCTAAGCTCTTCGGGTCATAAGGATGTCCCCCAGGCTGGAATCTCAGCCCAGGCCTGAATCAGGCTTGCTTTGCTTCAAGGGTTACTGTTCAAACACCTGAAATCAGTTTTTGACAGACATTGCCCCAGGGCACTTTGTATAAACCAGCTCCTGCAGCCAGGGCAGCTCTCAGGCACAAGGCTTTCGCTGAAGTGGCAGCAAGGAGGTGAAGGCTTGTCTTGACATGCTCCGGACGGCAGCATTCAGCCACCACACGGTTCTGCTTTGATGGCTTTGTCCTCCTTGCAAGCAGCAGCCACCAAGAGCCACCCCCAGAGTCACCTCTCTTGCTGGCTGAGAGCTGCGGGGAATGGAGGAGAGGGACCAAAAAGCAGAAATTGAGGTGAGGGAGCACAGTTAGGTGATGGGAGAGAGAGAAAACAGCCTCTAGTCCCTCCTATGTGTGTATCAGTCATCTGAGTTCAGGCTCTGCCAGAGGGTCCTGAATACATGTGCAGGATTGGGCCCTGAGGTGGAAGAAAAAGCCCAAATAATAACGAGCATGGATCAGAGGGCGGGTAAGGAGAATAAGAACCAGGAGGCTAGGCCTGCAAGAATTCACACCCTGTGCCCTCAGCTCCAAACACAGCTTAGTTGCTAACAATATTAAATTCCAAAAAGACTTGTAATGTAGGAAAATAAAATAAACATCCTGCACACTTACCCAATCCTGGTAAACAGCTTCCCATGGGCATGGAGAAAACTGAGGATGAACCTTTTGTTCAGCTGCATGGGAAAGAAAAAAAAAAAAAAAAGAGAGAGAAGAAGAAAACAATTAAACTCTCTCCTATTTCCTGTGAATTAAGAATGTCCCCAGTGACAGAAGAACCTGGCCTGGATGCTGGGGGTGGCACTGGAGATGGGAACCAAATGGACATGCCCAAACTCTTACAAACATCATGCACAAGGGCAAGTGCCAAACAGCTGGAGCCGGAGCAGGGAGAGGCGATGGAGACACAGCACCCTCTGCCGGGTCCTGAGCTCTGGCGCAGGCTGGGCCCCCGCCTGCGCTCTGGGGCAGTCACGGCCAGAGGTCTCCTTGTTCGCACCCTGCAAGCTCGAAGCACAGCGCAGCCCAAGGGGTTATGCAAAAGGAGTCCCCAAAAGCAGCCTCTCCCACCGACGGGGGAAAAAACCAACAAAACTAAACCACCAGCAGAAGTGACTTATTCGAGCAGCCTCTGGTCAGCGCGGAGAGGGAGCTTCGCTGTAGAAAAGCCGACGCGGCGAGTTCAGCAGCAAAGCTCGGAGCGTTTGTGCCCTGCCTGGAGCAGCTCTCAGAAGCGAAGGGACATTAGGGTGATGTGGCACCCCTTTGTTTAAGTCTGTAATTAATCCTAAGCAATTACAGCAAGGGAGCCGGTGTTCAGACCTATCAGAAAAGCCTCAGACAACCTGCGGCAGCGGTGCTGCTGCTGAACTACCTGAGCAACATGGAGCAAAGTGGATACGGGGGAGCTGGCTGTGGCACATGCTGTGAAGGCAGCTTCCTGCCCTGCTTAGGTCCAGCAACACCAAAACCCAACTTGAGTAATTACTCAGGAATGCTCTAAGCCACCTCTGCCAGCTCAGCAGAGCTCTGGGCTTTCCCAGCTCTTATCCCAACAGCTTTGAAGAAGGCTGTGGGTGGCTAAGTAGTCACCCTGCCTGGGCCTGGAGGTGGCTGTGTCACACCAGGAGTGGACTGGCCTCACTCTTCTCAACAGCAAGAGGCTTTTCCTCTCGCGCCTGCACAGCCTCAGCGCGGTGAGAAAAGCCAGGCTCCCAGCACCGTGCGGGGAGATGCTGACCAGGAGCGAGCCAGAGCACCGCCGCCCCGC